GTGATTTGTTTTACTGATGATGATCAATGTTTTGCGTAAAGTAAAATTGTAATTTTTTCCAATTTTTTCTAATCTTTATAAAAGAGACTGAATTCTTTCTCAATCATCATTAAGACCTCTTTTCAGTAAAAGCACTATTTTCCGCTGTATCCTATGCATTCTTTTCATGTCTATCTCTAATTCTCCATGCAATGTATTCTGTGGTGGTCTACCCGCTTTCTTTCGGTTTTCAAAACTCCATGTTAGGCCTTGTCTTGTGACACAGTTGGATGATTCCTTCAATATGTATGTGTTTTATCCACCTCGAACACTTTATCCTAACTTCTTCCTCAAGTGGAATTTGATTTGTTCTATCCCACATTAGATCGCTGCTGATGGTGTCTGACCAACTGTTATTAAACACCTGTATCATTTGGACAATGTAATTTGTCGTCCGCCAAGTTTCAGCTACAGAATAAATATTTTTGCATATAACACTGTCTGAACCAGTGTGACTTCACCTATGATTCATCCGTATGAATTATTATGAATTAGTTAGTTTGACAAGTAACCTAAACACAAGAAATGTGGTTAGTAGTTTGTTGATAGAACAGCGGCACAGAGATCCTCTGTACTAGGATGCACATATGAAGACGAAAATCCGTTGACACAATAATTATTCATATCAAAATTATATCTATCGAAAAATTTTGCTGACTTATTGCTTTCCCAATCCAAATGTATAAATATCAACAAATGGGATGTTGGCTGTTTCCAAAATTGAATGAAGCGCCACAATTCTTTCCATTTAAATAACATAAGAAATCACATTAACTAATGCAATTTCTAGATTATATATATGGTATAGAATATGATTTTTGTTAAAAATTTGAAAGTCGCTCAAAAACATTGTGCATGCTGATCAATGTTTCAATAATCTATGAGGCACACATTTTCTTACATACTTACTTACGCCTGTTACCTCGAATGAAGCAAAGACCACAGACCAGGCTTTTTCAAACCAACTCTGTCCTGGGCTTCCCTTTCTAGTTCTTTCCAGTTTTTGTTCATTCTTCTCATGTCTTTCTCTATTTCTCGACCTAATGTGTTTCTTTGGCCTTTCTCTTTGCCTCTGACCTTGAGGGTTCCATGTGAGGGCTTGTCTTGTGACGCAGTTAGGTGCTTTTCGCAGTATGTGTCCTATCCACTTCCATTGCTTATCCTTGATTTCCTCATCCATTGGAATCTGGTTTTTCTTTTCCCACAGTAGGTTTTATCTGAAGAAAAAGACGTCAGTAAATGATTTTCTTTTTACTTGTTTTCAAAATAAACATTTAGCTACAACTAAGAGTTCAGCAAGTAAGTAAATCATTTTTGAAAGTGTTCAACAGATCGTTTTTCGATTTTGGGTACATAATTCGATTTTTTTTGTTATGAAAAAAGTTTAACAAGCCACTTTTATTGATTGTTACCGAAATTAATGTGAACTAATTGTTGATAATTTTGTGAAGAATATACTTCGTTATAGAGTGATGGAGTTTGTTGCGTCTCATTGAAATCATAAATCACTCATATGCTCACTAGTAAGTAGGTTTGTGAATGAATTCTGCAAGTTCTAATGAGAAGCCTTGAAGAATGTAGTGCAAACCTGTCAGATATGAGGCAGTTCGTTACCTGGCGAAGACAATGGGTAAGTTTGCGTAACAATTTAAATTGATTTAAGTTAGACATTAACCCGGTCAATGTTAGAGATTAGGCACTCATCACACACAAGATCGTAGGTTCTGTGTTCGATACCCACTGCTGATGAGTTCGATGATGAGGACGAAACACTTGTTCAATGTTTCAAGGTTTTCTAATAGAGTTGTCTAACAATGAAATTCAACAATCTTTCCAACTCTGTAATGAACATGTTGCTAACAATTTCACTCCGACAACAAATAGAAATCATCTCTGTCATAACGGGGAAGTCTTTATTCAACGTATTGAACACAATTTTTTTCCATACAAAAAGTTTAACACACATTTGTTTGAATAATCTATAATATTCATCAATATCTACCTGATTATTTTTTTAAAAATATTTTAGAATGCTTGGAAGTATCCTGGATAGCTCTTTCATCTACTACGATGATAGTTTTTGTATTGGTCAATAACTATCTGAAAGAAAGATCCATCTTTTAGATGACAACACGTATTGTTGGTTGATAAAGGAAAATTAACTTTATATATACTATATTTCTAGTATTCTTTGAAATAATAATACAGAAATATATATTTGGTGTGTAAATTGTTTTCTGTGTTTGATATTCACTAAAAAAGAGTTCTGGAGATTGTTGAGTTTCTCATGAAATCATGAATTGATCAATGTTAGATGGCGATTAGAAAGCTGGAAGCACTGAAAGACCGTTTTGTCGCAGTATGGGACTCGTCTGCTGTGGTCTACCATGACCTCAACATTTTGGGCGCGAACCCAAGACCTTCGGTTTCTCACACAAACACTAAAACTCTTCACCACTCA